TTTTAAAAACAATTTCTTCATCTCCCCTCCCTCTTTCTCTCTATCCCTCTTTTTCTCCCTTCTTCCCTTATCTTGTTTCTGCCTCCCACCCCCCGCCCAATTGATTTATTTGTTCTCTCTGTGCCCTCTGTTCATAATCCTAACATGTGCTAAATGGCGCTGGAAATAAGTTGGAATAACTGACACACCCTTGTCCTTGAAGAGGTCATGTTTTGTTGGAAATGACAGGTTCATAAATAATAATGATAATAAAAGAGCTACTGCTCGCCAGCATTGTGCTTTGGATACATAATTTCTGATCAACACAATTTCTGTGAGGTAGGTAACATTATCCATTTCAGAGATGAAAGCACTGAGGCTCAGAGAAGATAAGTAGCTTGTCCAGAGTCACACAGCTAAGTGTGCAGGCCTTGATCATGCTCACCACCATGAACATGTATGCACTCATTTCTGGGCTCCTTTCTGAAAGCATCTCCCCCTTTTGAGCTGCATGTCATGTGTCAAAGAGGAGGTGTCCTCCCTGTCAGTCTGTCTCTCACTTCCTCTGTCTGTCCTCTCTGCCTCTCTCGCTGTTGCTGTCTCTATTTTAGCTTGCTGCAGCTCATTTACTGTCTCTCCTCTGTCCCCGAGTTTCTCTGCTTATTTTTCTTTTCCCTTTCTGTCTCATCCTCTGCCTTTCTCTCTTTCTCTCCTCCTCTCTCTCCCTCTCCCCCTGCCTACATTTGTATCTTCTCTCTCACTGCAGTTTGATTCTGTTACTCACTTCCTATGTTTATCTCTGCCTCTCACTCCATTTCTCTCCAGTTTTCAAGTCTAAGTTTCTCTCAGCCCTTCTGATTATTTTTCTCTCCTTATCTTTCTGCTGCACCCTGATCACTCTCTCTTTGTGTCTTCCTGTCTGTTTGCATCTCTTTCTCTTTTGGTCCCTGTCTCTCTTGGTCGGTCTCTCTCTCTCTCTCTCTCTCTCTCTCTCTCTCTCTCTTTCTCTCTCCTTCTCTCCTCTCTCCTCTCTCCTCTCTCCACACCTCGAGGGCATCTCAGGACTTGCCTGCAACTGCAAAGGACTCCACAACTCCATCTGCAGCCTCCACACCACACGCGAGGGAAAGATTCATCTGTTTCATCATGCGCCTGTCCGACACCGTGGGAGGATGAGTGAGGGAGGCAGAGACAAAAGCTATTTCACTGTCGCATTGTTCTTCAGGCCTAGAGGCTCCTACACAGGTGCCTCTTAATATTCCAGCAGTGCCATCAGCCTTACCAAAGAGAAATCACCTTTTCTCGGCCTACCCCTCTGCAGAGCTAATCAATCTCCTTTAAAGATGATCATCTGTTGCTGGCATGGGGAGGAATGTGAACAGAGAAAGAATTCTAGGTGGGGGTCTCCAAACAGGGAGCAGGTAGGAGTTAATTTTTTTTTATATGGAGGCAGGATAATGGCAAGGAAAGGCCTACATGAGGACAGAGACTGTGTCTGTTTTTCTCTTCATGTATCCCAGCTCTTAGAACCTTGTCTGGCGTGTAGAAGACACTTAATAAATATATGAATGAATTAATGAATCGAGCAAATGAATGAATGAATGGATGGACTTCAATTTTCCTTGTGCCAATACTTGAGGTGTTTCAGTGCACACGTCAGTTTTGATTTCTCATCTGCAAAACGGGGATGATAACCAGGCCTGCCCGCAGCACCCACCGTGGGAGAGAGGACAGTCCCAGCAGAGCCTCCTGCTTCCCTGACTCAAGGGTCCTGATCCCGCCTGACATCCTTGCCTGCCAGCTGCAAAGAGCAGATCAGGAGCTACCTGAGAATCTGAGGAGGCTGACATTTCCAGCTCACAGACCATCCTGAGATTTTTGTTGGCCATGAAGAGTTGGGAGTTTTCACCTCGATTTTTTTCTGGCTTAATTCTGCAATATATTGAAAGGTTCCCAGCCAAAAGAGTTATTGCCTTCTCTTTGCCTGGATGTTAAATCTTTGTTGAAAGACAGCTTGTTTTAATTGAAAGTATTCAATCACTCTCTCCCTATCTCCCACTCACATCCCATTTCTTGACTCAAACGGGGCCATTGCAGTAAATCATCTGGAGTGAGGCCCTCAGGGGTTGAGGAAATGTAATGTGGCTGGAGAGGGGGAAAAGGGCTGTCCCAGACAACTCCCACCTTCAAAACACTGTCCCTTAAACAGAGCTCGTCGAAAATGACCAGCCCCCCACAGTGGGACGTTTTACTGGAGCAGCCCAGCTCCTTTCCTTGTGGAGCTCGAGTACTGATTTACACAGTGTCCTCCAGGGTGGCTTCCGGTCTGCCTGTCACTGTGGGCGGGGGAGGCAGGGTCAGGCTTCCTCTTCTCCATGCATTTTTTCATTCAGTCAACACCCATGTGTTAGTCACACACTTCATCACAACAGTCTTGTGAGGCAGGCATCACTGTTTCCCTTTACAGATGAGGAAACTGAGGCTCAGGAGATTGACTCGCTCATGTGAGGTCCCACAGTGCTCTAGTTCCCCCAGACTTAGTGTTTAAAACAAAAGCTATTCTCTCATATTGTCTGTGGCTCAGAAATTTTGGGAGGGCTCAGCTGAATGGTTCCAGCTTGGAGTCTTTGGTGGAACTGCCGTTATACAATGTCTGGAGCTGGAAGAGCAGAGTGCTGCAGGAGCTAGGATATCTCTCTATCATTGTCTCTCACATAGCCTCAGGGCCTCTCTCTGCAGCCGCCCAGGCGATTGGGCTTCCTCACAGCATGGCAGCCTCAGGACTGCTTGCATGGCAGTTCAGGACCCCAGCTGAAGTCTTCCAGTAAGCAAGGGGTAAGCTACATCACCTTTGATGACCTTGCCTCAGAAGTCCCACAGTGTCTACCATTTGTTTTGATTACAAATGAGTCACAAGCCCACCCAGACTCAAGGGGAGAGGACATAGACCATATCTCTCAGTGGAAGGAGTGTCAAGGTTATAGCATAGAATAGCATGTGAGATGGAGCTACTGTTACAGACGTCTTTGGGAAATACAATCTGCCATACACAGTACGTAGTAGAGCCAGGATTTGGATGAGATACATCTGATTCCAAAACTTCTGCTGCAACTCTTCTACCCAGTCCTCAGTCCTTGGTGACCTCTCAATCTCGCTGAGCCCCTGTAGCTCTTACTGTCAACGCACACGCAAGCATGATTTGCTCTCCTTAAGCTTCCAGCAGCTCTGTGGGCCCTGGCCGTGAGGCTGCCTTCGGGGTCTGCTGGTTAGAGAGGCCATGCCAGCTTGTGAACTTTTTAAAGAAGGGCACAGAGAAGGTCGGTCAGATCCAGAAGAGGAAAGCAGGTGGCAGCCCCAGAGCACAGCGGGCGTGCGGCAAAGCGCCTGTCATAAACAGCTCATCCTGTGTTTTTCCTTCTCCCACCAGGCACTGGCCTGGGATGACTCAGCCCTTGACAGGAAAGGTGCTTTCAAGTTGGGAAAGAGCCCAGGGTTGTGGAAAGCTTACAGTTCTGCAGTCAGACACTCCTGATTTTAGTCCTGACTCTAGCATTGCTGGGTATGTGGCCTTGGACAAGTTCCTTCACCTCCCAGAAAATGCTTTCCTCGCTGGGTTGCTTTGATCAAAATGCACATGTAAACAAAGTACCCAGTGCAGTACCAGGCACATGCCAGGTGCTCCAAAAATGCCAGTGTTCATGTTCTGGGTCCTGCCCAACCCCAACTCGGGACTTTTTGAAGAAGGTGAAGCAAATTCACTTGACCCTTCTGCAATGGCTAGTCTAGCTCCAAGACCTTGGATGGCACCGTGGCCGAGAATTCTCCTTGAAATGACAACAACACTAAGCTGTCAGAAGGCTGAGAGTGAGTCGGCCCTATAAGGCTTGTGGAGGGAGGGAGAGTGGTATAGGAAGACAGAATAGTGTAGGCAGAGACCTGGAGGGGGAAAAGTTCAGTATTGCTACAGTGTGAAGGGCAAGGAAGAGGGTAGATGTGGGGAGGTAGCAAGCATAAGCCAAGAAAATAATCAGGGACCCAATTACGAAGGACCTTGTAAATGAAGTTCCAAAATTTGAAATTTAAAGGCAACTGGGTGCCACTGAACGGTTTTACTCAATTGGGTGACATGATCAAGTCTGTGTTTTAGAACAGCCCCCCTGGCTACATTGTAGAAAATGGGTGGAGACAGGCAGTCGAGACAAGGTGACAATAAGCTGGGGAAAAGGCAGTACTGGCCTTGTCTAGGGGGCTAGCAAGGGACTGGAGACAAGAGACAAACTCAAGAAATAGGAGGTCTCATGGAGAAGAATTGGTGGTAGTTTGGATGTTCTGAGCTAAGGGGCATGAGCTAGGTAATAAGTGCTTTGAGTGAAGTCAGTTCAGAAGCCATGGAAGTATGGGGCAAGGGGAGAGAAGTGTCATGGAAGGTTTTGCTAAAGAGATATCACCCAATTGGAGACTTGATAGGTATTAATTAGTGAAGGGAAGAGGGAGGAAATTCAGGAAGAGGAAATAGCTCATGGGAAGGCCCAGCACTGTGAGATATAATGCACAGAGCAGATACTCTGTGGAGCTGAATAGATGATTGCTGTACTGATTTATACTAAGGTGTTAATGGCCACTGTGGTCCCCAGGGAGTTTGTATTTTAACATAGCTCTAAAGATTTATTATTGGTAGCATGGGGACCCTATGTAGGATGAGAGGATTTTACCATTGTTGCTGGGATTACCAAAAAAGAAGACAGATCCCTGAGGGTCAGGCGGGCCCTGCTCTACATACAACAAAGAGAATCTTCCTCTTGGGTCTTATGATCGGCTTCCTGATATACCTGAAGCCAGACCACAGAAGCCCAGTTGTTCCCAAGAGGTGTTGTGCAGATTGAAAAGATAGTCCCTGCAAAAAGCATTGAGTAGTGAGTGATACAACTGTTTTTATTATTGTAATCCTTTATTATACTAGTCCTCTTCTCACTCTGTGTCAGTCTCTTTTCCAAGTTGCTCCTTAATACACCCACTTGCAGATATGAAGCTGGGACGGAACGTGGCCAGAACGTTTTTGGATTATTATCGGCTGGACCCCATGGTTGAGAAAATGGCGATTCCCATGCCAAGGCTGCGGTAAGTGGCTGATCAGAGCAGTGTGGTCTGGAGTCCTGCTTTGTGGGCTTCACATTCAGGGGCAACTTCCCTTAGCCTCTCTCCACCCTCAGTTTCCCATCTGTGGCATGGGAAATAAATCCCAGCCCTGCCACAGAGAGTGTATGGGAAAGAAGAGCTTAACAGAGTATTTCTTGAGTATAAAGTATCGATATGGGGTCGGACAGTGAGGGGTGGTCACATTTCATGGGAGTCTGCAGGGATGGGGCTTACTGGGAGCTAAGTGCAGTCATAATTCTAAGTTAGTCTGGTGGTACCATATGCTACTTCATCTGATAGCTCATCCTCAGAGACTCCTATGTCATCTAGGCTCCTAAAGTGTCTTATCCTTCCATTTCCTCATCCATAAACTGGGACAGTAGCACTCAGTTGGAAGTTTATCATACATATGTCCCTTTGGTGCATGGTAGTCCCCTTCCCTCAAGACACAAAGGCTCAGGGCTGGAGGGGACACACCCCTGAGAAGGTTTGGCTCAGGCGCTCTGCTGGAGCAACTTCTTAAGCCAGTGAGGAGAGACGTCAGGAGATGAGTATTCTTCCTGAGGACTAAACAAGAGCGCCAAACACTGGGTGTTCCCACACCTGCTGGAGGTGAGCCCAGTGAGCATTTGGGCATCTGGATTGTGCAGCCCCTGCCCTGCCTCTTGGCTTCATTTCCTACTTCCCTTGTGGTCCAGCCTCCTTGAAGGACATGAAGATGTATAACTTACTGCTCCTGCCAGACCAGTCTTCCCACAGTCCTTGCTCAAGACCTTGACTATGTGCTTGCTGTCTCAGGGCCTTTGCACCTTCCTCCTTACCTAATTATTAACAACAACAACAAGAAACCCTATAGCAATCATTGTTATTTATTGAGTGAAGTAATTGCTGTCCCTGATCCTATTTATTTATTTATTCCTTATAGATGTTATATGCTCCATATTACAAATGAGGGAAAGAGAGCTCGGAAAGGTGAAGAGAATTGCCTGAGGTCAAAGAATTTTTGTCAGAGCCAGGATCTGATCCTAGACTTTTATGATTCCAAAGCTAGACTGAGGTCCAGCTAAGTTCCACCTGGAAAGTGAGGGTTCAAATTCTCTCAGGCTCATTGTAGCTGTGGGACCTCTTAAAACCTTTGTCTACTTATCTATAAAGTTGGGGTAATAACAATGACCTCTAAAGATGGTTTTAAAGATTAGATACAAGCTTGGTACAGTGCCTAGCAGCCAATACATGGTCAATAAATGCTTCCATCTCCTCTGGTTTCTAGTTTGCAGTCCCAGATTTCCAACAGGCTCTTCATAGCCTGGGGCAAGATCCTGGCCTTCTCTGGTTGAGCTGGATGATTTCTCAGGGCCCCAGTTAAACCAGGTTGTGAGTCACTATCCTTGAGCCCCAGCTGCATGACAATGTACTCTGACTCATAGTCAGTCTCAGATTATTCACCAGTCATGGGGCTCTTTGTGCCCCCCATCCTGGGGGAGGATTATATTTATTTCTTCCCTGTGCTCCCACAGTGTCTAGACTGTACTGAGTATGCATTTTTGTATACATTTATTCATTCATTTAGTCATCCACTTAGGAAAACAACACTTTATGCAAGGACCCTGGGGAAAGGATGAAGCTGAATATATAAATGATTAAGGTATGACCCTGTCTTGGAGGGGCTCACCTCTAGAGAAAAGTACTCAGTTCTTTCTTAGAAGTCATTCTAGATTGGTTAAAGTTCTTAAAATTTTAAAGCTTTATAAAACTCAAAAGAACTCTTAGAATCTCATTTACAAGTTAATTTGGGGATTCTCTCTCTCAGGTCCTCTCTCAGCCTGAATGAAATTATTTTGATCCTTTACCACTTTTTTCTTGCATGTTGCATTGTGTCAGACTAATGGAACGGGGCTGACAGTCGGGGACTTTAGCAATCATCCAGGACCCCTCCTCACGATAAGGAAGAGGAAGACATGGCTGGTCAGATGCAGGACTAGAGCCTGGGCCCCAAGATCCTTGGCTTGATGTTCTCAGCATCAGTTAGTGAAGAATTATTTGACATGGGGAAGGGGTGAAACTTGGTCTAAAGGATGCAGGGAAGTTCTCAACACCTTGATTTCACTGTTCATGGAAACCCCTTGCCCTGAGTTTGGAGCCCTCTTTAGAAAACAGTGGGAGAGTTCATTCCTCAGAGTTCACAGCCTTGAGGACTTAAAGTAAATGCACCCACCCTTAAGTGAAGAAAAACAAAAACTAACTCCCTCTCCATCCCTGCACTGCTGACTCATCAAACCATGAATATCCCTTAGCTCTCAACTGGTCAGAAACTCTTTAAAAATGAATTCCCAGGAGGACACAAGGCTCAGACTTAGGATTTGAATAGTTCCTGTTTCTTGTATTATTTTCCACCCAAGCATCAAATAGCATAAGCAAAAGAGCAGTTCTGGTTCTAAAGGAAAATTACATGTTTTGACTCAAAATTATCCGTTGTTTTCTCTCATCTCTATGGATAATTATAATATGTCAGTTTTGACCCTTGTGCTGACAGAACCTGTCAACACCCCTGGGTGCTGGGCCATCACTAAGAAAGGGTGCCTGAGGATGGCCAGCAAGGTAGGCCTAAGAGCCCAGGCTCAGAGATGTGGTGTTGATGACCAAAACAGACTCCACACTCGACAGGACCACAGTGACAGTCACAGAGCCAAAGCTCAAAATGCACCATCAAGATGCATGAAAATTAAATAGGAAACATGACCAGGCCAGGTGAGCCTCAGCAAGGAGGCAGCTTTGTCCCCAACCCCTTTATACCAGAGCCTATGAGGCAGGAAGGAGATGGGCTCTTCTCATTATTTTAGAAATGAAGAAGGGGAGGCTCAGAGAAGGGAAAGGCCTTCTTCAAGGTCACATTGCCTATGAGCAACATTCCAAGCATGTGCTCCAGGCTGTCAATGGGAATGAAGGTCAAGCTGTGTCTCACCAGGCTAGACAGTCTTGCCATGTTGGCAAGATCCTTCCTTAAGCAACAGCCAGGCATTCTGGTTGGGGAGGCGGGGGGCGGGTG